CCCGTCGCCCCACTCCCGCCGCAGCTCCGTGCCCGTCCTCACCGCCCCCTGAAGTGAAGGACCTGGAGAAAACTCCGGAGCGCCCAGACAGCATCTGACTCCCCGCTTTCAGCAACACCTTTGCCTTACAGTCCTCTAAGCCTCCCCGCCCGCCCAGGCGCGAGCAGCAGCAGCCAATGGGCATCAAGTCCCTGTCGGTCGCAGCCAATTGGAAGGCACCAAGTTCTTTAGGCTAAGGTGGGCCTAAGCCCCAGCCCCGCCCTCGCTCCGACCCCGGCGCCCCGTAGGGCTAGTGGGAGGAGGCCGGAGCAACGTGTGTTTGCTGGGATTGGCTGGCGCGGTAGCGTGTGGAGTGCTGATTGGTCGCCGGGAAATGGCATGATTCCACGTGGGTGTGGGCTGGCGGGAGCCGGACGTCTGGCTGTCCCTGAGTGTCTGGGTTTGTCAACTGGTTTGGGTCGGCCAATTAATTGCGAAAGGATTTTGCGAGGTAGTTAAGCAGCTGAGAGAAATACGAACACACGGTGAAGGATGACAGTGAAGGACAAGGCTGGTCCAAATTCTCCTCGGTGGTACAGGTCCTAGCATCGCGCAGCTGCACTACTCCCAGGACCAAAAGTCAAATAAAAAGGCACTCGTGCCGACGATGTCCGGCCCTTCTGCCGCCTGCCTACCCTGACAGAGCTGAGAGCGCTGGGAAGTAAAACGCATATAAACACAGTCACTGCCACAGTGTGAATTGATCATTAGCTAAACGTTTTCCTGTCCTCAGGTAAGAGAGTTCAGAGGACAACCTTGAAAATAGAGAAGAGGAGGGGATATGGAAAGTGGATTTAGCAACCTCAAAACGTGTTCGGTTTTCATCACTCTAAGATCAGAAATCTCTTTCAGTGGCTGTAAAGTCACCCATCTGATGGGATGCTTGGCAAATCTTAATACTAAAAATTAGGTGGCCTGCAAATTATATTTACTAAGACATGTAGCTTGAAAACCGAGAGTAGGAAGAAATGCAATGCTACTTCATCCGTCGTTTTTGATAAATTTGCAATGAGAATAAATGATACTCCATAATTTTTTAAATTAGCCCCATTTAAAAGAATCACCAAACACCACTTGCTAGTTATTTTTATCTTTGTTGTTTATATATAAAAGGAATCAATTTATATTATAATTACATGTGAGATGATAATGGAAAAGTTCCTTGTGTGTTGCAAAGGTCCATTCACTTACTAGTTACTATTAGCCAATTATTGTGGTCCTCGTTTGGATGGATGGATGATTTGAGATGATTTAGGAAGAGTGCTTTGTATTAACTTTTACATATTTTATATCTTGTTGAATCCTCTGTAACAGCCCCCCTGAGGTAGGTGTGTTTTACAGATGAGGAGCCCTAGAGGTAGAGCTTCAGGCAGGTTACTTACTGAGTGGCTAAACTGAAATTTGGCCGACGTCTGCTGGATTCTAAAATTGGAGCTTTTAATCCCCACAAAACTCATATTGTGCTTCACAGTTTCATAGTTTTTGTCAGAAACCTTTGTGCAGCAGTGGGGACCAGAAATGAAAGGCTTAATCCCTATCCTGAAGGTTTACACGGTCTAATGGTGAAGAGGAACAAATCCTCATAAACATTTCAGAAAAGTAGAATATTAGTGTCTCTCATTATTAGGATTCAGCTCTGGGTACATTGCTTAGTAGGTCTGCATATTCTCTCAGAATCTCAGAGAATCCTGTAAAACATGTTTAAAACAAAATTAACTTGGCTTTTTTTTTTTTGGAAGGGAGTGTCACATAAGGTCATAATCATACTTATGCCACATGTGATTTCTTATCATTTTCTTTCTGGTTTTTGGAAGGTTTTTGTTTCTTTTATTCTTTATCTGATGCTCTGTTTTTCTTGGTTAGAATGAAGTTGGGGTAATTGAGAAGAGCCCTATCTCTATCAAAGTGGAATGTTCAGAAGAAAAGAAAATAATATCATCTGTAGCTATTATTAGGGGCTTACTATGGTCCAAGCACAGTGCTAAGCATTTTATATGTATTAACTTACTTAATCTTAATAGCAATGCCTGCTAATAAGCATACATTACTACTACTTTCATTGCACACACAGGGAAGTATAGCATATAGGGCAACAGACAGATCTCTCCTCTAAATAGTTTGAAAATGAGGAAATAAGCTTTCCATCTATACTTCAAGTATAAAAGAGGCATATAATGAATTTGACCGGCTATATGGAAAGTAACCCTAAATAGTCAAAACAACTTCCCTGCCAAGCCCTGACTGTAATTGGACTAAATATATTAACACATCTAAAAACAGAATTTCCAAGAAGAAAGACAAAAAAAAAAAAATCTCAAAACACAGAAATAATATATCCACAATTTCTTACTGGAGGCAAAAAAATCTAGAAATAAAATAAAAACACACATGCACAGATATCCCTTACTTGAAAAATTTTTTTAAATGTGTACCCCAAACTCTTTGGTCAAAACAAAAATCAAACATTGTATACTGAAGAGTATTAATAAAGATATTTTTTTTAAAACCCTATATACCAAAGCCAGGGAAAATGACAAATTCTATGCTTAGAAAAGTTGAACTCAGGAAAATTCATAGCCTTAATTCAACTCAACAAATATTTATTAAATTCCTGCTACCTGTACCAAAGACTGAGGGCATACTGTGTCTTGGGAATTATTCATTTACAAATAACAGAAATTCAATCTGGATTAAGCTAAAACAATGTATTAGAAAGGTATAGGAATATCTTATAAAAGTTTGCTACTCAAAGTGTGAGCCACAGGCCAGCAGCATCGGCATCACCTAGGAGCTTGTTAGAAATACAGAATCTCAGGTTCTGACCTACTGAATCAGAATCTATATTTTAAAAAGACATCTGGATGATTTGTATGCACATTTAATTTTGAGAAGCACTATTATAGAACACAAGAGCTTGACTTATAGCCAAGCCTCAAAAAGATTGAAAGACACTGAGAACTAAGACTGAACAAATTCATCAAACTGTACATTTAAAGCATGTGCAATTCATTGTATGTAAATTATACCTCAATTAAAAAGAAAAAATATCATTCAACCAATAAGTTAGAAAAAACATCAGAAGGAATGAATTAATAAATATACAAACAAAAAAAATATTGTGGAAAAGTCAGAAAGCAAAGGAACAACAGAATTAATTTAAAATACATTATGTGATTTCTTTGGTGGGAGTGGATTTGGACATAATAAAATAGGTACATCTACAGCTAATACAATAAAGAGAAAAAGAGGGACAAAAAGCATTTCTAACTAAGAAAGTGAAAGCAATCATAATTAAAGAGTAAATTAAAATAGTAAATCTTGTTAATTAATAAATCTGGGTGAAATGGACACTACTATAAGGAAATATAAATTACCTAAATTGACATGAGAAGAATTTGAAAGAGTTAGGAAGTCTAATAAACTTGTAGAAATAAAAACTTTGAGAATATTAGGAAAAAACTACCACTCAGAAAAGGACCAGAAGATTTCACGTGATAATTTTTCAACTCCTCAAGGAATTGGTAATTATGATGCTATTAAAACTGTTTTTAGACCATAAATTTTAAAAAAAAGAAATATATTCTTTTCATAAATTGAGTATTTTACATTGCTCTGATACCCAAATAAGATGCTTAAAAACTTTAGTAATTTTCTCTTCCCACAAGGGAGTAACTGGTATTAGACTTGCCCTCCTACCTCCTAAACTAAATATATAACACAACTGTTTTCAGACATCAAAAAACAGGCAACACGACAAGATTCTGAACCCTGAAGACGGGAAAACAGTGAAGTAAACACCAGGGAGGACTTGAAGTGTGTTAATCATTGCAGCTCTGAAAAGTGGTTTAAAGGAGGAAAGTCTATTGCTGTCCTCGATACAAAGAAGAATACGGTCAACTCCAGGGCATATGGCTCTGGCCTCAGAGGTCAATGACTAAATCGTTTATGACTGGACACAGGCCTAGTATAAAAAGGGGGGAATATTCATTTTTTTGAAATAGAACTTACTTTTATGCTAGACTGCTAAGCGTACTTTCGACAAGCCAAATAGGACAGAGGTAAATGACATAGGTGTAAGAATTATACTTGAGGACAAAGGAAACACCTAAATAAAGCTAATGCTGGATTTCACCCACTGGGGAGGAAACTTGGATTCAGTCAGAATGCATATCCTGCCTTCTTCTCCTTGGGGACCAAAGGTACCAGAGGAGTAACCAGAGGACCAGGAAACCTACAGAAGTGAAATCTGCCCACCAAGGAGTGAAAGGGACCAACATACTGTCCAAATTCAAATATAATACCTTTCGGCAAACTGAAAAAGGGATTTGGGCATGCAAACTTGAAAAGCTGTTAATCCCAACTTATATTCTCTCTTACGTTCTAAAAGAGTGCTCAGTTTTTTCCCTCCTTGATCCAATTCTACTACAGCCATTGTAGTTCCTCCTTCCTTTGTTCTTAAGCTGCTTCATTATATTTCCAGCAGCCAGACCAGCAAGTGAGGATGCTGCTGATATGCTGG